CTTCTCGGCGAGCTCCTTGATGCTGGCGCCGAGTACGTCGCGCTCGTAGAACAAGTCACGTTTCTTGTAGCCTTCAGTTGACTTGTTGATGGCCACGTTGAGCACTTTGCGGCGATGGAGAGCCGCTTCCCGTCTTTCGTGAAGATGCGCGACACGACTTGACGCCTTCATCGCGTGATCGATGGCATGCTCGAAACAATATTGCTTGAGCTCGTCCGGCACAATGTCGGCCTTCGCGTTGATGGCCAGCGTAAAACCTTGCGACGCCGACACTGCACTGGGCGTCTTGACCGTGGTGCGGTTGCCGACGGTGTCCACCAGGCAATCCGGCTTCGTGAGTCGGGTGGAGCGGCGATGAAAACCGGCAGCAAGCCTTGGAGAGACGCCGCCGTTTGTCGACAAAGATCCATCATACACAGGCAGTTCGCCAGCGCCATAGATGCAGTGGTCTTGCATGTCCCAGGAGGGCCTTGGAGGAGGGCAATCGGCGCGGGACTGTCCAGTAGCTCTTGAATGACGATCCGTTGCCCCATGTCGACCTTGGAAGCGACGGTGCGCCAGACGACGCTCGGAACAAACCGAGGGGGAGCTGGTCGCACTCTACGTTTCGATGTCTCCGTGAGAGCGGCTCTTCCGCACTAGCACGGACGCACCTCCAATTCGATCGCAGCCAACCACTTGTTGGAAAGCGCGCGCGCGGCTTCGGCAACGGCCTTGTTGCTGCGCGCTCGGAGGCCTTGGACAGTCGCGAGCATGCGCGTCGACTATTCATATCTTGTTGCAAAAGACTCATGCGCTGCCGATGCTCGCACGTACAAAGAGCTCGCCAAGCGCCATCGCCGTGACATCCAAGCTGCGGAAAATGCCAAGAACATCCTTGTCGGCGGCCGATCCCTATGGGTTGATGTTAGCAATGGTAGATACAATCGTGTTGATCGTACCAGCGTCAAACGCAGCTTTCGAAGGCGCGCATTGTACTTCTTGACGGTGCAGCGAACCGATCCAGCGTGGGTTGGAACCAAAATCATTGGCCGCAGCGTCGGCGGGACTTGGCCGAGGAACACCAGCGCTGAGTACTCACGCACATTCGACGCAATGTTGGCCCCTGCGACCACCGACCACTTGGTGTCGGCCCGCGGGCGGGCGCCGCCTTCAAAGAACACAAAAAGCTCGCATCGCCCGCTTGATCGTGGCCCACAATGACACCAAAGTGCTCCGTACGACCACTCTACGCAAAAGAAGCTACGTAGCCACAAGCACTGCCGCGACGAGGTAGAATACCGTGAGGCGGACGACGTCATGGATATGCAATGGTGCGGGCTTTGTCCATGGCTTCGAGCTGAAGCGCCAAGCGTCGCCGCGCGAACCCTTTTGAAGCAATACACTGGAGAGCGTCGCATTCTTCTTGAGCCTAAACAATAGAAATTGAAGCGAATCGGTTGGTATGTAAAGGATCATACCCTTGCCGAATCGCGTGGGCGACTTCCGTGACGAGCAGGGGCTGCCATGCGTCCACGTACTCTTCAAGCTTGGCGTACGAAATCGTGGCTACTGGCTTGTACGCTCCAAGCGTCGAGGCGAGAGTGCTGATGATCGCCACGGCGCGATCCCACCGCACTGCAGCCGCAAACAAGTGCAAGAGCCCGCGGGAATCGATGGCGAGGATACGCGGATGTTTCCGAGCATTCTTGAGCTCGTGGGTGCAGAGAAGGATGAGACGACGGTACTCAATCGAGGCGCCCGAGAGGATCGCACTGTAGTCGGGCGACATAAGCTCAAAGCACGCCATGCTGCCCATAAGCACGGCGACCACGTCGTCTCCAGCAATCATGTACCGGTAGAACCCAAGAGTCGCTCCGTCGGTGCTCCATGGACGGTAGACCATACAAACCTCTTGTATAAATGTAGAATCGAAAAAGAACACCTCGTGTCTGGAGGCACGCAACAATACATCTTATTTTGTGATGCACATCCGACCGCGGTGTGTATATTGGCGTGTTCGTAGCCAAACCCTTGCCGAACCTGCTCCGTGACCGCATGTTCCGCCAGTGATATTCACTGTGTGCTAGCGGCTTGCAGTCGTTTTCAGTGAGAATGCCTCACCATCTAAACTGTACTAAGGCATTGGGGCGACTGCCTACCATTTTCATACAAGATCTTATTACCATACTACCGACACGCTAGGCAGTCGGGCGCGGACGGTTTTTCACAACACGCTACCACTTGTGTGTGGCAACTTGGAGGTTGCTCGCGATGCTCGCCCGAGCCCGCAGGATTTGCTCTGCGAGGCGAGTCACGGACGCCGCCATCGTCGGCATCTTCGTAGCAGTACTGCTCTTTTCCTCTAGTTCTACAGAGCGCAGAGGTGGTGTAGCCGCAAGGTCGTCGGTTGCCTCCGTCACTGTCGTTCGTCGCGTGAGCTCCTTGTGCACCAATGCTAGGTTCCGCTTGTGCAGGGCGACGCATTGGGCCTTGAATGCAGCGTTGGCTTTGACGTTCGCAGCAGCCAGTCGGATCGCACAGTCAAACTTGACGGCCGCCAGCTGAGCTGCGTGGCGAGCGTTGGAGGTTGAAAGGTTCAGCGACTTGGCGGCGACCCGTCGATGTAACTCGCGCCCTTGGGCTTCCGGGACTCGTGTGGACGGTGCTGTTGAAGAGTGTGTTGGTAGCGACGAAGCGCGCACACGGGACGGTGTTGTGTCGAAGGCAACGACCGACATCGATGTCGCATTCGTTGACGAGTTCCAGCGGGGGCGCACCATGGTTGCTGTAGCTCAATATATACTGTGGTCGAATGAAGCTTTTTCACGCAGCCGTAAAAGTCATTGCCTCGCTTTTCCTTGGAAAAGGCCTTGGCGCCACCATGTTGCTCCAAGTCGGGCACGCGCTGAGCAACTGTGTGATCTTCAAGAAACCTGGTTTGCCTCTCGCCCTGTACATGCGGCGAACATGTTGGAGCAAGTGCGTCGTTCGGACGCGGCGCGTCCGTGAGAAAGCCGGGCTTCTTGGTGCGGACAACGAACTCCAAGGCATCTCTCGTGTTGCCTTAGACATCGGTCGGCTTCTCGGCCGTGAAGCCTTGTTTCTAGCGTTGGGGAACGCGAGTCGACTTCTGCAGCCAGACTGCCTGGAGGACACCGATGGCCGCCGCACGACGATCGAGACGCCAAGCGACACATCAGCTGCCCAGGTGTTCATTCTCTCGCAGGTAGCCCCGAGGTCGAGCTGTTCCACGTGGAGCAGATTCTCGTCCTCCTACTCCTAGACTTTTGTACTACTTGACAGTAGTTAGATACTTCAAGAGTGCTCGCTGGAGAGCTGGTCGGGCGAAACGGGCTTAGAGTTCTCCATGGCCGCGTCGCTGGTCAGGACGGCCGGAAGCACCATCGCCGAGGCGAGTGTTGAACACATATTGCGTTCGTGTTGCTCCACGAGTGCTGAAGTGCCGAGGCTACTCACTGGTCGACCAAAATGTCAAGTTCAATCTCGAAAATCGTGAAAATGCAAAAGTACAAAGTCGCAAAGTCGCCTACGTGCTTGGCATGCATGAACACGTGGGCTTTGCTCAAAAAGTAGATCAGCAGAAGATTTCAGGAACAGTTTCAAAGCGTGTAGGACGCCCCGGAGGTCCATGCCTGCGGGTGCTGCCTGATGCCGCGATCTTTGTAGCAGGTCATTTGGCCATTTGTCCATTTGCGATGGCAGCTACCGCTTTTGCATCTCGATTGGCCCGCATGCCATACGTTGAGGCCCCCACGTCGTGCCCATAGCGGCGTCGGTGTCCACGCGAGTAGCCGAGCGCTCCAAAACTCATTTTTCGCAAAGTTGGGCCGCATAGCGGGCCGCTGCAGAGTGCTTGTCCATACGAACGTCAATATGGACATCTTTGTTGCCCTCGATCACCATACCAGATCAGCACTAGATTTACAAGAGTGGTTTGCATGGTCGGCTACGTCATTGGGAGCTCCAACCTCGACTCTGGCAGCGCCCACATACGTGTAAATGCAAATATTGACTTTGGGCTGATCAGCACTGCAACCCTTCAGCTGGAATGGTCTTGAGTTCGTGCTTGTATATTAAGGCATGAAGAGTGGGTGCTGTGGTGGACAGAGGCGCCTAGTGCTTGGCCTCTTCCGCGGCGTGGTTGACCGACCGCCGGGGAGGCGAGAGCAATTTGCCCTTGGTGGCTCTGGACGCGCGCTTTGGGCTGTTGATTGACGTGTCGAGCTGCACGGCGGTGGTCAAGCGCTTTCGTGGCGTCGACGGACAGGCTTCGCATAGCTCGGTCGCTGGCGTCTCGTCGTCGTTGGTCTCGGGCCCGACGTCGATCTGGAGCGGTGTGAGGCAAATGGCCATCGGCGCCTCGACAGCCAAGACGAGGGCCTTGGCCGCCGCTTCGTTCGTTGTCAAGCGCACGGCGTCAGGATTGGACTTGCAGTGAGCGTTGCTGCAGCGGTCGTTGCCGCAGCCGCGCGTGAGGATCACAAAGTATCTACGACACCATGACACTCCTTCAGCATCTGCGATAGCATCCTACGCTTCGACGAGGCCCTTGGCGTACTCGTACTCGGGCCGGCGGCGCAGCATGCTCCCAACAAGGCAGCGTCGTATATTTAGCCCGCGGTTATACGGCTTGCGTGGCGGTTGCGCAACAAAAACACACACACGCGCGATGCGAATCGTATCAATGTATCAAGTGGAGACCGCGACTACATGTGCGCCATGTCCTGCTGGATCTCTTCGAGCGTCTTGCCCTTGGTCTCGGGCACGTACTTGAACGTAAAGATGAAGGCGAGGACGAGCGCAATGCCAAACGGCACAAACGAGTTTTCGAGCAAGTGGTTCTGGAGCATCGGGAACGTAATGCCAATCACAAAGCTAAAGAGCCAGTTGACCATGGTCGCGAGCGCCATCGCGGTCGGGCGCGGCTTGGCGGGAAACATTTCGGCGACGATCAGCCACGGGATCGGGCCGAGACCGATTTCAAAGAACCACACAAAGAGCATGACGCCGCCGACGCTGACCATCTCGTAGTACGGCAGCAGTTGCCACAAGCCGAGCGTGAGAACGACGCACGAGAGGATCATGCCACCGCACGACCAGAGCAGCAGCGGGCGACTACGCATAC